AAACCAGTGAGAGCACATTTTATGAGAACCCCAATTCCTACACCCGTTAGGAATCCTGCGAGAAGATAGCCATTTCACTGCCCACATCTATTGGTGCATTGTCAGGAAAACATTCTGTGGCTTAACTCCATTGCACCATAAGACACCCCCAACCCCAAGTGCTTGCCTTTGTCCCCCTATGCCTTAACACCTTTCAATGAACAGAAATTTAACAATCTGAAATGTAATGCAAAAATTGAAATTCTTGTCTCCCTTCCATTCCTGAAAATTGGGATACAGTTCTTCAGAGATAGTAGGAACTGCAGATACTGGAGAATCCGAGACAATAAGGTGCAGAGCTGGATGAACACAGCAGGCCAAGCAGCATCACAGGAACAGAAAGGCTGACGTTTCAGGCCTAGACCCTTCATCAGAAATGGGGGAGGGGAAGAGGGTTCTGAAATAAATAGGGAGAGGGGGAGGCAGATAGAAGATGGTTAGAGGAGAGGATAGGTGGAGAGGAAACAGACAGGTCGAAGAGGCAGGGATGAAGCCAGTAAAGGTGAGTGTAGGTGGGGAGTTAGGGAGGGGATATGTCAGTCCAGGGATACAGTTCTTCATGTGTTCGCACTCTCTAGTGATTTTATCTGATCAATACTTTTCTAGTCATTATTAACACTTTTTATTGTAAGTGTTGAAAAGAAGAAATTCACAGTAAAGGTTTGTAACAGTTTCGTTCAATACCTAATCAAGTGGAAATAGCAACTTTAGATACCTTTCCCTGCCCGAGTGTGGGCATACTGACTTTACAGCAGATGTCTGAGCCATCATACTCAATGGATCAGCAATTCTCAGTGTGGCATCTGTCATTTGATTTTAGTTAATGATCAGATGGTAAGCATTCTAACCAATTCATGGGTCGATCCAGGGAATTGGCACAAAGACCATTAGTGCAAATTTCAATGACTGTAATCCCACATTCCCACCCCCACTGAGACATAAAAATCCTGTCCAGGGACACTGAACTCAGTTGTGATAGCTTTGCTCCCATTCTAGAGTGCATTAAAGCCAGAAGTCCTCCAAAAGTCCATTCCCACATCTCTTCAGCACAATGCCAAGAGAGGTACAACTTCAGTTTATGATAATAATGTCCATTCTGAACACATCATAACAATTTCCACTTCTCCCTTCATTGGCTCAGATCCCATAAAATCAACTTGGGGAATGTTGGCAACATTAAAGACTGAACTAGCAGCTACTTTAGAGTGGAAACAGGAGCAGTGGAACCTCAGTGGGTGCATTTTTATATTAACTTAATATTTTCTAAAATCTCCAGTATCAATTATTATTCAAAGAAATGATACACCACAATAACAAAAGTAATCACCAATTACCAGCCCATTAGAAACTCCTGAATGCAACCATTCTAAATGTCCCTGCTTTAGTAGGGAATATTGGGTAAGTCCATTCCAGGGATTTCAATGCTGTATTTAGCAACGTGAATTGCAAATGTTTATCCTGTGAAGGAATGGGAAAGCTTATATCTAATATCTCTAATCACTTCTGGATTTATTTTGTTGAAAGTAACAGAAATTGGTGATTTCCAAGAGTCAGTACAGACAGCCTGACTAATATTCCCAACAAGAACTTATATTTAAATAGCACTTTTAACATTATAACACATCCTAAGGTGTTCCATAGGTGTGTTCTACAACAAAAGATGACACTGAGCTGTGAGGAGATATTTTGTCAGATAACCAAAATCTTGGTCAAGGTGAGGTCAAGAGGCAGAGGAAAGTTATTCAGAGACTGAGGCCTAGGCAACTGAAAGCTATGGCTATGTTAAATTGCCTTGTAGTGAGCAGGGATGTGCAGGCTAGGTGGATTAGCCATGGTAAAAATGGGGTTGCAGGAATAGAGTGGGTCTGTGTGGACTGCTCTTCAACAGGTCAGTGTAAACTCCATGGGCCTCTTTCAGCACTGTAGGGATTCTGTAGGATAGAAATTATTCACAGCCAACTTCTGCAGAGACCAGTAGATTTTCTGATGACTCAGATTCAAAAAGCAATGGGTGCATTTGGATGCCCGGGTCCAGTTAGACAGGGTTTTCACTGTGTGAAGCTCGGCCACTGCAAATATACCTTTCTTGGTTTTTAAAGGAATGTTGTGGGTCACATGATGCCACTCGATGTTGTGAGGTCACAGCCACAGCAGCTTTAAGCAAAACACTAATACCAACACTTGTTCGTTAATATCTTATACCAATGTGACGCAGGCCAGTACCAGGACAATATAACATAAGACTGGCCAAGACCAGGGAACACTATAGCAATATGAGGCAGACCAACACCAGCGGACAATATAACAGGGAGAGACAGGCCAAAAACAGAGAGCACTATTACAACATGTCACAGGCCAACACCAGGAGATGATATAACAACGTGAAACAGACCTAGATCAGGGGACACTATAGCAGCATGAGTCAGGCCAACACCAGGGGACAATACAATAGCATGAAACAGGCCCAACACTAGACAGCACTATTACAACATGACACGGGGCTAAATTACAATGTGAGACAGGTCAACTCTATTTTGTATTTAAACATTGGGAACTGAAATGAGAAAACCATTGTTTAAGAATGTTGCTGCAATTTTGAAAGCAAATATGCTGGCCCCACAGCAGGCACAATAACAAGTATTTGAACAAGTCTGTGGAGTAGTGACAGTTACCAATGAAAGAGACCTTTTCGTTGTCAATAACAATGTGATTGGTTCTCTTGGCTGAACAGCTTGGAGTTTGAAACAAGTTACAGGGACTGACAATGACAGTGTGGAAAATAAGTATGCAGATCTTCTCCCAGCCCAGATCTGCAGTCAAAAACTCAGTTTAAACATGAGGCAAGATGCAACTTTTGAATTAATAAATCAGAGACATTTTCCAAGTGAATCAGCCAATCTGTACATCTTACAAAGAAGTTGAAATGGAAGAGAACGACATAACATCAGCCTTTCTGCTCCTATGATACTGCTTGGCCTGCTGTGTTCATCCAGCTCTGCACCTTGTTGTCTCGGATTCTCCAGCATCCGCAGTTCCTACTATCTCTGATCCAAGAAACAAGTGTCGGGCCAACCAATTAAGGATCATCTCAACAACAAAACTGGGAAGCAAAGATCACTGAACTGACTTTATAATTTTTCTACCTCCGCTAATAATCTATTTTCCCTATTTGTTTGTTTGTGTGTGTCTGTGCGCACATGCACATGTATGCAAGGGAATATTTTTGTTTTTAGGGAGTTTTAGTCGGTAGTGTTACATACCAATGGGTTATTTGTTTACCTGCAAATATAGTCTAATCACTTGCAATAAGTAATAATTCTTGCTTAGTCTGTGCTTTCTACAATCTTGTGCTAAAAGTCAGGTAAATTAGGATACTGTACATGCCTTAAAAAAGCTAACTTTTGGTATGACTCCAGGATTCTACAATGCACTACCTGCCTGAATGGTGACAATGTGAAACATGAAAACTATAAAAACCTGACACAGGCCATCACCAGGGATCACTATAACAACAAGAGGCAGGCCATCACCAGGAGACACTAACAATGAGAAACAGGCCATCATTGGGGTCACTAAAACAATGTGAGACAGATCAACACCAGGGGACACTGTAACAATATGAAACAGGCAAACACCAGGGGAGAAGCAGAAATAGGCAGTTCAGCAAGTTAAGTTTGTTCCACTCTTCAATCAGATCTTAGCTGGCCTAAGAATTCACCATCCTCCACTATAGTTGGACATATTTAAACACTCTCTCTATATCCCTCTGCAAACTTTGTGCATTCCTTACCACTTGCCTTCCCATCTACTTTTGTATCATTTGCAAACTTAGCTATAATACATTCACTCTCCTCATCCAAACCATTAATATATATTGTAAATAACTGAACCCAGAACTGATCCTAATAGCACTCCATTAGTTACAGGTTTCCATCATTAGCCAATCCTCTGTTCATGCTGATGTACTACTTCCAACACTGTGGGCTCTTACCTTAAGTAGCCTTTTGGCAATCTAAATACATTATATCCACTGCTTCCCCTTTATTTAACCGGTTCATTACCTCCTCAAAGGAACTGGAAGAAATTTCCCAGGCATGATTTCCCCTTTGGGAAGCTTTGTCACTGATTAATGATGCTTTTCCTTATGACTCTGGGACTTTTCCAAAATCAAAGGATTCCTGGAAGATTACTGCCAATGGATCCACGATCTCAGTTGCTACTTCTTTGAAAATGCAAGGTGTTATCAGTCCTTAAAACCATTGGTATCCCAAAATTTCTCTCATGTGTTTATTACCCCTTACCTCACTCCCCACCCACTCCAGAACACCCCCTCCCACACAAGCCTTGGTGCTTTTTATTATTTACTATTTCTTACAATACTATTAATAACCTCTAACAGACCAGGAAAATTACCCTCCTGCTTTGTGGGCCAGGGAGGTCCCTGCCGCTGCGCTGAGGATAGGGGAATATCCTGCCTCTTGCTCTGAGGGCCATAGAAGCCCTCCTATTCTGGTGTCAGAGAGAACACCCCCTCTCCAACGGGTGGGAAATATCCCCTTACTATGTAAGTGCCGAAGGGAAACACCCCACTCGTCTAAGGGCCACGGAACATTCCCCTCTCCTGGGGGACCAGAGAAACAACCCCCTTACTCTGCCAACCAGGAAAACACCCCAATCCCTGTGAGGGCCAGAATCACGGTATGAAGAGCGAGGCTAGCTCCAGTGGTACTGCTGCCATTTTCCGAAGACACTCTTTTGGGCTGTGTGTGACTGTGAATCAGCTCGTTTTTAAAACAAACCATTGGGACAGTGAAGCTCCTGTTTGATGGGAGGGGCGTGGAAGAAGCTGGAACCGGCCGCTCTCAGACTCTGAGCCCAGTGTGAGATCAGCAACGAGCCAGGCCCCTTACAATCACCACACCCCCTGTACCAGGGTCCCTCCAAACCAAACTGGTACTTACATCTTTTCCCGGGGGCCCCACCAATCCGGTCGAACCTCTAGCACCGGCGTCACCTTTGGGACCCTAAGTGAATTCCAGAGAGAATGAATGAATGAATGAGAGAATAATATGCAAATGATGGTCTTTAACCGCTCCCCCACCCCCGTACGCTGCTGAGAAACGGAGGGAACTTACCGGTGGACCCGGGACTCCATCTGGACCTCGGTCACCCTAAAGAAAAGGACAGGACAAATTGAAGTACTGGGAGCAACAGTAATTCCCTGGAGAGGGAAAATAGAGGCTGGCTTGGGGAGGGAAAGAGAGGATGACAGAGAGATAGGGTGGGTAAGAGAGAGGGAGGGAAGGAGAATTACGAGGAAGGGAAAGCAAGAGAGAGGGGAGCGATGGAAAGACGGCTGTGGGGACGGGAGAGACGAATCGTTGGGAGGATGGGAAGAAAGTAGTGGGTGGGGAAGATGAGGAGATGGGGGGGGGGGAAAGAATGAGGGAAAGGCGATGAGGAGATGGAGGGGGTGGAAAGAATGAGGGAAAGGCGATGAGGTTTGGGGAGTGGGGAAGAGCCGCGACTGACAGTTCTGTCTAATGACTTACATCAATGCCATTCAATCCCGGGACTCCGGCCGGACCTGGGAGAGTTGAATCACCTGGCGGAACCTTCGTTTCCAAACAATTTTCAAAGAAACAGGACGTTAGTTTAAAGAACAATGTGCGTACAGCGCTGTTTCGGGAGGTATTTAATGACAGTGTACGGAACGGTCGTGTAGGAAGTATAACATATCAATTGAGATTTCTGCTGGGGAATTAATCCTCAATATTCCTGCTGCTGCCGCCTCAATAAATCTTCCCTATCAACACATTCCCACATACTCAGAAAACCAAACTGTCTCAGTCTTTGTCCAGCTCTTCACCCTTCCCACAGCCTTAGCAAGCGGAGAGAAGGGGCGATTCCCCTGAGTGTTACAGGAACATGCCATGTTACAAACTGAAGCTGTGGAATGGACCGGGTGAGCTAGAAACCTAAAGGCAAACCGGAGGAGCATCATGTTAGACCTTTTTCCCCTCCGCCTGCCCGTCTACTAAGTCCCCAAGCTGGGTGACCAGACAGCCGCATGTTGGAGGGTTCGTGAAGTGCATTGGTAGTGCCGATAACTCCGAGCGAGAAGAGCTGCGTTCAAGTCCCACCTACTCCAGAATGTGTAATAACATTTCTAACAGGTTGATGAGAAAACTATCTAGAAACTACCCAATTTGTATAACCGTCGTTACAATCGAAATAAAGCTGGATGTCCACCACTGTCCCTGCAAGGCATTCAGCCCATTCAAAGTATTGTAACGCAACGGCTGTGTCTGTCCCCGTTTTCATTATCACCGGGTTTCTATCATAATGCACACAGTGGCTTATTGATAAAACTTCTTCCACTGCTTGGACTTCTTGAACAATTTCACTGAGAAACTTAAATGGACAGCTAAATGCTTTCTGAATCACGGGGGCTGCAACGGATGGGGAGGGGGCCGAAACTTTCATAAAGAATGCCCCCACACTCCTTCAAGATGTGCCCAAGTCTTTACAGTAGTTTATTTATCAAATGTAAAGAAGAATCACTTACTTGAGTGAAACTGAGCCGCAATAACTGTAGAAAAAGCAATAGATACAAGAGCCCCCTGTTGCTGTCCGAGCTCTCCATGGCTACCCGATGGCCCAGGTAAATGCTCTCTTGCCCTTTCTCTCCTCAATGAGCAAAGTGACCACCCTCTCCAAGAAAATTTCCCCCTTCGCTAACCCCCTCCCGTTTAGACATCGCATAGCAATTAGATTTTATGTTTATTCAGATCCCGCTTTCGAACTCTGATTGGAAATTTTGGCAAACACTGGGAGGAGTCCCGGGAGGGGCGGGGTCATGTTTTACAAACTGCCTTCAATTCTCAAATTTCCCAACGCCATTTGCAATGTCGCAATTAAAACAATTTAGCTGCTTGAGCGAATTTGGGGAGTGCTTGAATGCTGCCCAGTCTGTTCTCTCACGCACTGGAAGTTTCGCGTCGTTCCCGCTGAGGGTCGTAGTGAATCACCAGCCGCTGAAACTCGAACTGGAGCCGACGGATCATGATAACGATGGTCAGGCACGGTCTACCCCCAGCTCCCTAACTCTAGACAGCAACTGATTCCTGCACTGTGCAACGTTTCACTTTCATTGCCAATACTCGTTGTACGCCTGTGTTTAAAATGAAAAGAATTACCGACGAAATAAGGGTATCACTTTTGCCGAGATAAAGGAACGTTGTAAAAGGCATTCACTATAAGGCCACCTCCTTGAATTTCTCCAGCATCTTTCCACTGTACAATTAAAATACTTGCATACGATATCGCAAAATTAGTACAATCCTATAGTCACTGCTGAGACGGCGCGGCTTCTTGTATCCATGTCAAATTAGCCCCAATCCCTTGCTCCAAAGCCTAAGGCAATTTCACCCCTCAAAGGTATGTCCAATGCTTTATTCATTAAAAGTAGAGAAGACGCCTTGTGCCTCTCTGGGTCAAAATTCAAGGTTCAAGTCCCCCCTTTCCTGAAGGTGTGCTCAAACAGATACGTTCAATAATACATTTCAAAAGTATGGGTTGCAATTAAATAATATGAGCACTAATTTGATGTTATCAATGAAGGGCCTTTCTCTTTGACACAATTGGAATGTCAGTGCTATGGGTTATGTAGACACTAGATGCCTCTGATAGGACCCTTTCATATCTATGAGATATTTCACACCATCCTGACGGAAAATGATTTTTAACTGTGAGCTTCTACTATGATGTTTCTGACTGCATTCACAAGGGCATTTACATCTAATGACTGGGTTCTGAACAATGAACACAAGTGAATTTGTGATTTGTGAATTAAATTTGCAAATTTAATTAACAAGGAGTAAATCATCTGTATATTTTTAGAAAGAAAAGCTGCTGGGACACATTCTGGAATGTTCCCAAATACTCATATGTTTGACACGTTGGTACCGGGAAAACATTTAGAGACAATAATCCAGGACAAAATCTGGGCAAGTATGAGCTGATAAATGAAAGTGACTATGGATCTGTTTATTGATCTCAGTAGGATAATAGGTCGGCACAACATTGTGGGCCAAAGAGCCTGTACTGTGCTGTACTGTTTTATGTTCTATGTTCAGACATTTTTGAATTACATTATTTGAGGTTTTTGCTGTGGTAATGGAGAGGGTTAATGAGGTATTGCAGTTGATGTGTTACGTTGGGACATGACGAAGTTGCACATAGTAGCTTTGTTTGCAAAGTTAAAGCCAAACAAAGGGAGAGTACCACCATGCATAGGAATTTACCTAAGGGGCAGAAACCCAAAGAGGAATGGTAAATTATTATTTTCAGACTAGAGGAAGGAATGTGGTTGTCTCCCAGGGTCAGCACTGAAAGTCTTTGTGATATATATTTATAACGGTCTGAACTTGTATAAGGGATACCATTTCAAATTTGAGAGATGATACAGATTTTAGAGTTCTAGTAAAAAAATGAGGAGCATAAAAAAATTTCAGGAGGACACTGACAGACTACTAAAATAGACCAGAACATGGTAGATGAAATTTAGCAGAGAGAACTATGAAGTGATAGGAGATAGTAGGAACTGCCCATGCTGGAGAATCTGAGATAACAAGGTGTAGAGCTGGATAAACACAGCAGGCCAAGCAGCATCAGAGGAGCAGGAAAGCTGATGTTTCAAGTCTGGACCCTTCTCCTTTCAGAAATCAATGGCTGTGGGATTAGCACAAGAATAAGGCATTGAGGTAAATGATCAACCAAGATCTAGAATGGTAGAGCAGACTCAGTGGGCTGAATGGCCTACTCATGTTCCTTCGTTCCTCAATGTCACTTACAAGTGGAGCAGCAGGAAGCTTTGCACCAAGAATGTATGTCAAGGGTTTGTCAGTTAGAAGCAGAAATTTATGAATCCTACTAGAACAGTGATAACAATCTACATTTTATTGCAAAACTGTAAAATAAAACAATAATTTGTAGATGTCGGTGTGTTTGCCTTCACAGGAGGCTCCATAGCACTGAGGATGTCACCTAGTAATGGGACGAAACATCTGCTATCAAATCTTACAGCTCGGCGAACATACTGACATCTACAACCATCGCCCGAGCTACAAATCTTCACTCAAACCCTGAAAACAATTTACAAAACATGTGCTGGTTTATTTATTAATTTTGTTATGAGATACCTGGTTGGAACTGAGAAGTTTATTTCTTGGTTGAGTTTGTAAGCCACTTGTGAAGGAGTGGATCCCACCACCTTGTAAAGATCGACAGTCTCAAGTGTCCATCCTAACAAATAATGTTTGCAAAATGATTACAAGAATAGCATGAGATCAGAAATAACAGGGATCATATTCATAGATTCATAGATCAGAGAGCTGAACAGCATGGAAACAGACCTTTCATTCCAACTCATCCATGCCAAGCAAATATCCAAAATTAATCTGGTCCCATTTGCCAGCATGTGGCCCATATCCCTCTAAACCCTTTCTATTCATATACCCATCCGGATGCCTTTTAAATGTTGTAATTGTACCAGCCTCCAACACTTGCTCTGGAAGTTCATTCAATTACTGCTCCAGGATAACTTAGTACCTGTGTTTTAGATTTTTAAACTTTAATGAAGAGATAGATCTCAATAAAACATATAATCAAAACTATAGTCATGCAGCATGGAAACAGTAACCAGTCCTGGCTGAACATAATCCCAAACTATACTAGTCCCACTTGCCTGCTCCTGGCCCATACCCCTACAAACCTTTCCTATTCATGTACTTATCCAAATGTCTTTTAAACATCGTAATTGTACCAACATTCACCACTTCCTCAGGAAGTTCATCCCACACGTGAACCACCCTCTGTAAAAAATTTGCTCCTCATGTCTTTTTTAAATCTCTCTGCTCTCACCTTAAAAATGTGGCCCCTCTTCTTGAAATCCCCCATCCTGGGGAAAAGACAACTACCATTAACTGTATCTATAACCCTCATTATTTTATAAACTTTTATAAGGTGCCCCTCAACCTACTATGCTCCAGTTAAAAAAGTCCCAGCCTATCCA